AGACACCAGTTTTCTCTAAATTATTGTAGGGACTTTACCTTACAATATTACAGTTTTTCTCAGTCGCTTTGGTGCGTTTCTCAGATCAGAATTGAAATTCTCATAACTATTAGTTCAACCTCCACAACACTCAGTCATTTGTGCACATCATAGTAGCAATTTCTCCTCTCTCTGAACAAACTGCAATTGATTTTGGACATGAATCATTGCTTCCATACATTTCCCTGCTGCTTTCTGACATTTCCATTTGCTTATGTCATGTCAGTCAAAAGTAATCATACCTATGGATGCTGAATAGTCGTTCCCAATAAAACTAATAGTCATACATCCATTGCTTGAGTCATCACACACAAAATTGTTGAACTAGTTATCACATGCCAAATATTGGCCATCTGTCAAGCAAATCCTATACCTTTCTGTATCATTTTTCCTGGAAATGTCTCCGAAATTGAACAATTGATCTCAGGTGAATTACAGCTGTCACTCATGAGGAGGCGTGTGAAAGTTTAGTTGTAACCAATGACAAACAACTTGTTCACTGTCAATTGTGGATGAATCCTGTGAATCCCCAATTGGCAAGCATATATAAACTGCGCAGGAGCTAGTGTGTACCATTTCTACACTTCTGTGACACAAAATGGAAGGTCAGCACCGTGGAAGAGGGGTGAGGATGCGGGGAGGAAGGGGAAGAGGAAGAGGGAGAAGAGGCAGATATAGGCGGATTCCTTTTTTTTTTTTTTTTTTTTTTTTGGCCTGTCCCGTTTGGCTCTTTTGCCATCAGAATTGTTGTCTAAAGGCAAAGAAAGATGCCCAACGGATTTACTTTACCAAATTGACCATCCCAGCCTTGCCGTAATGGTCCATTTGATTCACCTTTTATTGTTTATTTTATTTTCACTTAATGAATACGGGACAGACTTGACTGGGGGAAAGAAGGGGAGAAAGAAAGAGGGAAAGAGAAACAGCTGAGAAGAGGGACGGGGGAGAAGGGCAAAAGACAAAAACCAACAGAACGGGCAGAGAAAAAAAATGCATATATCAATCACCTGGATCACCTGCTGAGAAAGAAAAAAGAAAGCAAGCAGAAGAGAACAAGAGTAATAGAATAAACAACATCACAATGATATATGGGAATATGACAGTAAATACTAAATGTTAAACATTATTGTGCAGCACATAAGATCAACAGAACACAGTGTGCTTTGAGGTAGGAGCCAAAAAGGGTGTAGTTTGTGGGTGTGATCACCTGTGTGTACACCTGTGAGCATGGACACGCTTGTTTTTTGTTTTTTTAAAAGGTTCCTTCATGTAATAATCTGCTAGAGGGTGTGGGGGGCAACAGCCCCGTCCTCCAGGGCGTGAAGCAGGTGTGGAGGAGATCAAAACTCCAGACATCCAGAGGCCCCCAGAACACAAGAGACCAAGGAAGACCAACAGAGGGGCAGCTGCGCCACTGTCCCGGAAAGAGCTGAGGAGAGTCCCAGATGAGGGCTCACTCAGCAGCCGCGGAGCAGAAGCCAGGGGGAGTTGCAGTGACGCGCCCGTGAGCTCCGCCGGCAGCCAGCTGCGCCTGAGTGACCGAGCCCCAGGCCGAGAGGCCGGGGGCACCCCACCTCCGAAGTGGCCCGAGCGAGCCCCAGGCCCCAAGCCCCGATAAGCGGCCGCCAAGGAGTGAGCCGGTGTGTACCTGGACGCCCATCCCCGGACACAAAGAACCACCAACGCACCGATGTCTGAGGGGGTCCGCCACTGGCAGGGGAAGTGGTGGTAGGGGGAGATAGGCCTCCAAACCTTGGAGGGCCTGAGATGTCCCAAAATGTGACACAAAATGGAAGGTCAGCACCGTGGAAGAGGGGTGAGGATGCGGGGAGGAAGGGGAAGAGGAAGAGGGAGAAGAGGCAGATATAGGCGGATTCCTAATGAAATGTTGTCAATCACAGCCTCACCATGGAGGAGGCTGGTCGAAGGGTGCAACCCAATATTGGAAGAACTACTGTCAGTTCAATCATTCAAACATTCCGTAGGGAAAACAGGTATGCAAACAGTAATACACTGTACTGTACTGTGCCATCTCAGACACATCACATGTTACTGTACTGTATTTGCAATTTCACAAAAAGTTCACTCTGCACCACATAGGATTGTAAGACAACCTCGCGGAGGCGGAAGAGGGCCCCTTTTTACCCCACAGCAAGAAGAAGCCATTTGTGCAATGGTCATTGCAAACAATGCAATAAAGCTGAGAGAAATACAAAGCGCTGTCATAGAGAATTACACGGTATTTGGCAATATTGAATCTGTTCCAATTTCAACAATTGACAGAGTACTCAAGAAAAATGAAATCCACATGAAGCAATTGTATAAAGTGCCATTTGAACGAAACATTGACAGGGTGAAGGAGATCCGTCACCAGTATGTGCAGGTAAAGCTGGTCTTCTATGTTCTGCACTGCAAACTGTTTTACAGTACTTTGTAGTTTCATGCAGTACACTTGCAATTCCACAGCACATACTCTACAATGTGTTTTACCAAATGCATGCATTACTGTTTGTTACTGTACACAGGCATATTGGGACATTGCATTTCTGTCTCTCTCTAAAGCGTGTACTGGAGCTGGAAGCCAGGGAAACACTGCACACATTCATATATGTTGACGAGGCAGGTTTCAATCTGGCCAAAGGCAGAAGGCGTGGAAGAAATCGCATTGGACAGAGGGCAACCACTGAAGTCCCTGGTCAGCGCGGAGGGAATATTACCATGTGTGCAGCCATCTCAGACAACGGCATCCTCACCCATATCCCCCTTCTTGGTCCATACAATACCCAACATCTCCTGACATTTTTAGACACTCTTTACAGGGACCTAGTCCCTGAGAATGAGAGAGGTGGAGGCCAACTCAGCAAGTATGTTGTTGTCTGGGATAATGTCCGTTTTCACCACTCCCATCAGGTCAGAGAGTGGTTTGCAGCACATGACAGAATTCTGGTTGAATATCTCCCTCCATATTCCCCATTCCTTAATCCAGTAGAGGAGTTTTTCTCTGCCTGGAGGTGGAAAGTTTATGACTGGCATCCACATGAGCAAATGGCCCTGCTAGCAGCCATGGATGCAGCATATGACGACATCACAGCAGGGTCCTGCAGAGGATGGATTCGCCACTCCAGGAGATACTTTCCTCGCTGCATTGCGAGGGATAACATCTGTTGTGATGTAGATGAAAATATGTGGCCAGACAGACAGGAACGTCTGGATGTGCCAGAATGATTTACTGTACTGTTACATGTGCTGTTTATTGTTCACATTAGTGCACAGCTCTACCAAATGGGTGATTTTATGTTTACATGTATTCTACAGTGAACAAGTGACTGTAGCATATTTTTCTTTTGCACAATTCTGTAGGATTACAAACACTTCTACACAATGGAAATGTGAAACGTACGTATTCAGTGTCTCAGTTACTCCCAAGACTCCCATAACATCTACAGTGACTTTACTGCACATTTCAGATGGCTGTACAGGTAGGCCATAGTGCTGTCGTCAGCATTTTCAGGTGTCACCAATTGTTTTTGCAATGGGAAACACTGAAATTATAAACTGTCATAGTGGAAACATGACAATGCCATTTGACTATCTTGTTCATAAAGATGGTGTCAAGACTTTTCATTTTGATGGCACTGACAGTTTCATTGACATGGATACTTGCTTTTGAGGTATGGATAATCAATTCTGTGCATGTGACGTGCTTTTGCAGGCTATCCACTAGGTTTTGCAGTTTGCACTAATTGTTTTGGGAAATGCACTAACTGCTGTGCAAATGTTAATGGTGTTCTGAGGAACGCACCAAAGCGACTGAGAAAAACTGTAAGCACCTTGAGGTGATTGTTACTGTGATTTGGTACTATATAAATAAAACTGAATTTCATTGAATTAAACTAAAATTAACTAAATTGACTTGAATACATGTGACCTTGTATTTTGGGTGTAAGGAAATCTATAGTTTTTACTCTCTATTAGTCTATTAGTCTTATTTATTTACACCCATAGTACAAATGTGTTAAATACAACACATAACGTGTTAAATCTTAACACATGTGCTGCATCAGCTCAGGGACAACGCATTTTGTGTGCATTTTTTACAAAATGTGTGTAATTTTTGTCTTTCTTGTTGACATTGTGTCAAAATTCACACATAATGAGTTTTGTGTATTTTTTTTATTCCTTTTTAAGAGTTTACTGGTAAATACAGTAGCTTGTTAGAATTCCAAGACAAGATTTTACTCTGGCATATCCTGTCACTGTTGTGGCACGTGTCCCAGTCAAAGAGTCTGACTGTGTAAATCACATGTGAGCTGATAACAGCACTTTATGACAAGTGCTGGGAACACCAAACTGTAACACACAAAGTTTGTAGATTTGGACAGAGTCCGTGTTTATTCAGTGGAATTCATTTAGAGTAAAAACCTTGCAAACTAGGGCATGTTATTACAGTTAATGAAAACCCTCATATTCCACAGAGGAATGGGGAGAATGGAGTTGAACAGGAAAAGTGAGTGGGGAGCGGAAAACTCGAGATAAACTCAACTTATATTTTTCAATGACGTGTTATGTTTTTCCTTTTGCTTTGGTGTTTGAATCAATAAATCTTAATGACGGCCATATTTAAGAATTGAGTTTTACAAAAACATCAGAGGCTGCCAGTACCTAACCTTATCTATCTGTGTAAGAGGTTGAGTAATAAACGTCATGTGTCATGGTAGGATATGAATATAAGTAATGCTCCTTAACAGTGGCTCCTCATCTCATTCTGATTACTTTGCAAGGTATGTGGTTTTCATTGAATATTGTATAATACAGAGTTAAAGGTGCTAGTCTTTGTTTTTGTTATTTTGTTTAGATTTCCTTTAGGTTTCTGACTTATGGAACAAATTTATTTTAAGTTTGGGATGAATGTATTACTACCCCAATGTATTCCATTACTAATTCTCTTGTCAGCGTGAACAATGAAAAACAGTTCAGGTCTGCTTTTGCTGCTTTTCCTGGGGATGTGCTCAGCACGCACCTATCGTAAGTATGATCTGGATACATAAAACTTTGTTGTAAAACTTTAAAAAAAAAATAGTTACACAGAACATGGTTTATCAAATAGGTTCTCTTTCAGTTGATTCACTCGGTACAACATATAAGTATGGGATATCACGCCCTCGCATGTCCTGGCTGAAGAAACCTTTATTCACGCCTTTAAGATAAGATAAGATAAGATGACCTCTGTTAGTCCCACAGGTGGTAAATTTGTTTTGTTACAGCAAGGGTGCAAAGCTATGTAGCAGAAATTAGAAAACACTGGAATGCAATAAAATACAATGGAATAAAATAAAATACTATATACAACAGAATAAAATAGAATAATATATACAATAGAATAAAATAGAAATACAAATACTACATACAACTGAGTAAGAAAATACAAAAATACAACTTCGTCAGAAGATGAATTGTACAAGAATTGCACATATAGCAGTCTTATTGCACATGTGTGTGTTTGTGTGTTTGATCAGCTGCAAAAGTCTTTATTGTGGAGTCTGACAGCAGTAGGGAGGAAAGACCTGCGAAATCTCTCCGTCCCACACCGTGGGTGCGGCAGCCTCCCACTGAAGGAGCTGCTCAGTGCTGTCAGAGTCTCATGCATGGGGTGGGAGATGTTGTCCAACAGGGATGACAGCTTAGCCAGCATTCTCCTGTCACTCACCACCTCCACTGGGTCCAGAGGGCATCCCAGAACAGTGCTGGCCCTTCGGATCAGCCTGTTGAGTCTCTTCCTGTCCCCAGCAGAGATGCTGTCGCCCCAGCAGACCACACCATAGAAGATGGCTGAGGCCACCACAGAGTCATAGAAGGTCTTCAGCAGTGGGCCCTCCACTCCAAAACCTGAGTCTCCGCAGCAGGTACAGCCTGCTCTGCCCTTTCCTGTAGAGGGCGTCTGAGTTATGAGTCCAGTCCAGTTTGTTGTTCAGATGAACACCAAGGTACTTGTAGCTGTCCACAGCCTCGATGTCCATACCTTGGATGTTCAGTGGTTGCAGTGGAGGATGCTTGTGCCTGCGGAAGTCTACAACAGCTCCTTGGTTTTACTGGCATTGATCTGGAGGTAGTTCAGCTGGCACCAGTCCACAAAGTCTTGAGTCAGTCCTCTGTACTCCTTGTCGTCCCCATCAGTGATGAGGCCGACTATTGCAGAGTCATCAGAGAACTTCTGCAGGAAGCACTGGGTGGAGTTGTGGGAGAAGTCTGCAGTGTAGATAGTGAAGAGGAATGGAGCCAGAACCGTTCCCTGTTGGGCCCCCGTACTGCAGACGACCCTGTCCGACACACAGCCCTGAGTCCTCACATACTGTGGTCGGTCGGTGAGGTAGTCCAAAATCCAGGTAGTGAGGTGATGGTCCACTCCAGAGTTCTCCAGGCAGATGACGTGTGATCACACGTGCACGGCCCCGCCTGCACATATAGCCGCTGTCATCACAGTCATCCCTCAGTTCTTACGCTCTTCACCTCGCTGAGAACACCTCTGCTGATTTGGGCTAGCTAGCTGCTGCTAGTTAGCTCCGTTGTCTGCTGACTTGAACTTAGCTTAACTGCCCCTGTTGATGTTAGCCTCCACCGCGCAGTTGGTGTGTAGGCTGCCTGCAGAGTGCTAATGTCAAGTTTTTCCTGTGCAGCGTTTCGCTTTGCGTTTTGGAATGGACTCCAAACCGAAGTGAGCAAAGCAGAAATCTTCTGTCCGCCCCTTTCCAGGGTCGACCCAGGAAAGACGGGTGACGTTTGTGGAAAAAGTGCTGGGACGCTCGGCTGTCGCACGGCATGACCATCTCCTTTCCGAGTCTGGAGCCCCGTCTTCATCCGAGTCCGAAGATGAGGATTTTCCGATCTATGTCCCCGCAATTAGCTGGGGGTACTCTGGTGAGAAATTCGGAGGTTACACCCTTTAATAGTGGCTCAGATTTGGGATCTATTTGGCAAGGCGCAAATAGATCTTTTTGCTTCCAGGGTAAATACTCACTGCCCCTGTTCTTCTCCATAATCGACCACGATGCACCCTTGGACTTGGACGCGCTAGTGCACCAATGGCCAGATGTGCTCCTGTATGCATTTCCCCCAGTGGAAATGATATCTCCAGTTCTAGAGAGAGTGCGTCGGCATTCCCTCTCTTTGATTTTAGTGGCCCCTTGGTGGCCCACAAGGTCGTGGTATGCAGAGATCAGCCTGCTAGCAGTGAGTCCTTGGCAGCTTCCTCTCCGCAGGGATCTCCTCTCGCAGGCAGGAGGAGAAGTGGTTCATCTGCGCCCAGATCTGTGGCACCTTCATGCTTACCTGCTGAGAGGTTAAACTTGATTGCTAAGGGTTTGCCACCTAGTGTGATAGCGACAATTCAGAGCGCTAGGGCCTCATCTACTAGAGGCTTATACGCTTACAAATAGCGAGCCTTCGAGCAATGGTGCCAGGACCGCCACACTCTCCCATTTCAGTGCTCTATTGTGGATGTTTTGACATTCCTGCAGGAGCTGCTGGATAAGGGCCTTTCATTTTCGACAATTATGGTTTAATTAACAGCTATATCTGCTTGTCATATTGGCTTTGACGGGGTGACACTAGGTGCACATCCCCTCGCCATATGTTTTCTGAAAGGAGTTTGCCGGCTGAGGCCCGTGCTTAAGTGTGTGTGCTACGCACCTACATTGAGCACACTCAGAATGTGACCAGCTGTTTGTCTGCTTCGCTAATCCAAATAGAGGTAGAGCTCTGTCCAAACAGAGGCTGTCCCACTGGATTATAGAAGCTATCTCACTTGCATACGGCACCAGAGGTCTTGCTTTGCCCCACGGGGTGAGAGCTCATTCCACCAGGGGGATGGCAACCTCATGGGCTCTTTTTAAAGGGGTGCCTGTAGCTGATATTTGTGCGGCAGCTAGTTGGGCATCACCGCACACTTTTGTGCGGTTTTATCGGTTAGACATTACAGCCCCTTCAGTGGCTCATGCTGTCCTTTCTGCTGGGTCTACCACTCACTAAGGATGTGGTGGTCCGATTCCGGTTCGGAGGCTGCTCTGCGGGGTGTGTATATATGTCCCATACTTATGTGTTGTACCGAGTGAATCGACTGAAAGGGAACAAATATTTATGTCTATAACTTCTGTTCCCTGAAGGAGAGGAACGAGGTACAACACAAGGTGGCTCCACTGAGCAGTTTGGCTCGGTGAAGAGCGGCTATCGAACTGAGGGATGACTGTGATGACAGCGGCTATATGTGCAGGCGGGGCCGTGCGCGTGTCATCACACGTCATCTGCCTTAAAGGCGTGAATAAAGGTTTCTTCAGCCAGGACACGTGAGGGCGTGATATCCCATACTTATGTGTTGTACCTCGTTCCTCTCCTTCAGGGAACAGAAGTTATAGACATAACTATTCGATTTAACATGTTTATCATCAGCTACAGGTAGAGATATTGATGTACTATAACAGAATCTAATAATCTATAACAGTCACTCGAGTCTCTCTTGAAAATCTTTATAAGAGATGTTGTACTGTAGTGAGTGTAAAAAAAAGTGGGTTTATAATGCAGGTTTAATCATGTAAAGACATTTTATATTCAACATCTTAAATCATATTTCTACTGTCTTATCTGCAGCAAACGTGGCTTTACGTGGAAAAGCTACCCAGTCAAAACAATTCAATCATCAGCTGGCAGATGCCAGCAATGCCATTGATGGAAATCGTGAATCTGACTATAATGCTGGATCTTGTGCCTGCTCTGAAAAACAGACCAACCCCTGGTGGAGAGTGGACCTGCTGGATTCCTACATTGTCACCTCTGTGATCATAACCAACAGAGGAGACTGCTGTCCAGAAAGGCTTAATGGTGCAGAGATTCATATCGGCAACTCGTTACAAGATAATGGTGCTGGAAATCCAGTGTAAGTAAATGTAATGGATTATTCAGAACTTAAAAAATCAAACATAAAACCACTGAAATGATGCCAGACATACACATACACACACACACACAAACAAAAAAACATATTTTAGTGACTTCTTTGAAGATATCATGACTATAATAATAAGTTTATAGGTACAAAAGAGATTTCTGTCTGTCTTTTTATATATCAGCATATTTTAATTTAACATTGAACTCATTTATACCTTCACCTTGGTTGATACTGTTGAGTCTGTTGCACTGTTCGAAGATCATCTGGAAGTTCTGATAAAGAAAAAAATGTTTAAATACTTATTTAGATTGCTTTCCCATGTTTTCAGAATATGTTGTTAATTTCTGAATTTTGGCAACAAAGCTACAGTCCTTTAATGTGGAAACTTTAGTCCTGTATATATACACCATCTAAAATTAGAAGTCCTAAATATAAAGTTTGACATACCTGTGAAATCATTTCTGGCTATTAGCTATATTTTAGTTACATTGACAACATCTTTATGTTGCAGCAGAAATACAAAACTTCACAAAAATATATATTTCATTTATAAACGTGAGTGGAATGTAGAGAGTTTCATGCTTTATAATTGATTGAAATCTTTAAATTGGATGATGTACTGTATGTTAGTTTGTGGTACCATGCTGAAGCAGCGGTAAGTGCTGTTGCCTCACAGCAGGAAGGATTTAAACCTGTTCATTGATTTGGGATTTTTTAGAGTGCCCGTTAACATGTGATTCTAAATGGGAGATGGGCAGTAATGTGAGTGTGAGTGGTTTGTGTAGGTTGTTACCTTAGTGTTAGACTGGTAATCTGCCCAAGATGTACACTGTCTCTTCCAAAAGCCAGCTTGGACTGCCTTCACCTAAATCCATGACTATAACTGGATATGTAGTTTAGATAGTGGATCAATGGATGGATGTAAGTTTGTTTGTACAAGTATTACCAATCAAAAGAAAAATATGAGCCCACTCCTTTTTCTCTCTTTTAGGGTTGCAGTAATTTCTCACATCCCAGCAGGCAGGTCTTTAACAATTACTTTTACCAGACTTGTGGAGGGACGTTATGTAACTGTGGTTCTACCTGGTATCAATAAATACCTTACTCTCTGTGAAGTGGAAGTCTATGGTTATCGAGCCCCAACTGGTGAGTATCATACTGCCACATTCTCTCAGTTTTTTTTTGTTTGTTTTGTTTTGTTTTTTGTTTTTTTTTGGGGGGGGGGGGGGTTGGTGGAATGATTGTACATCATACATCTTAACTTAAGAAGAACAAACAAAAATTGACACAAGTTTGAATTAATTTTGCATTTTCTCTAGTCCACATGGTATTAGAGAAAATACAAAAGTATACATACAGGCTCAAATATCCAATAGCGAATTATACCATAACCAGATGCTTTTGATATCCGTCAGAAATGTTTATATTGTTGAGTTTAGGGCTTTTGGTTTTGCGTTTGGGTTTTAGAGTTGTTGATTTTGGAGGAGGAGCTTCTTTCTTGGTCAGCACCCTCTCAGTCCAATGTGGTATCAAACTCACTTCACTGTTGACAATGATTCTGGTGTTTCAGCAGATTCTAGTTCGTGGTAGGTGTAGCCAATTCTTAATTTTTTAAAGTCATTAAAGATGTATGCTGTGCCATCATCCCACCCTGGAAAAAAGAACATTTCAGTACAGTGAGTGTTACTATAGTTGATAATGAACATCTTAAAGTTCCAAATGTTAGAAAAGGAAATATGATGAAGAAAACAGAGAAGAATGATTTATATATTTGTTAGGAATTACAATATAACACTACTACTGCTAAAGCATTTTTTAAGCTTTGTAGTAAAGATCCACATAAACAATAGACATTCAAACAACTTTATAGAACATTTCAGTCTTTTAGCACACCTTCTTATTATTACTGTAAAAAGTAACAATGTGTTTATAGTTGTGAATTTCGCGTTTAAGAGATACTCAGGGCAGAGTTCCTTTATTCTGCAAAAGCAATAATCACGCATCATTACTGATCTTTGCAACTGTGTCATTGTACAGGAGAGAACCTAGCAATCCAAGGAAAAGCCACACAGTCTTCACTATATTTACCAGGCATGGCCTATAATGCCATAGATGGCAATCGTGCCAACCTATGGAACCAAGCTTCATGCAGTCATACAAATGCTGACTTCACCCCCTGGTGGCGACTGGACCTGGGCAAAACCCATAAAGTGTTTTCTGTTAATGTAACCAACCGCGGAGATGGTTTCCCTGAACGACTCAATGGAGCTGAAATTCGAATCGGAGATTCTCTTGACAACAATGGCAACAACAATCCCAGGTAGTTTACAGTTAATAAAATTAACTTAACTTTCATCAATGACGATTTTGGGGAAGTAGTATCCTAAAGTGTTAGTTTGCTTTATTATTCAACAACAAAACATTTTCTCTTCTGAAAGGTGTACTGTGATCTCAAGCATCCCTCTGGGCTTCACTGAAACCTTTAAGTGTAATGGGATGGACGGTCGCTATGTCAACATTATCATCCCAGGAAGAAGCGAGCATCTGTCCCTATGTGAGGTGGAGGTGTATGGCTCCAAATTGGATTAGCTATCAGGATGCTGAAACTGCTTAGCTTAGGGTGATGCATTTGTACAGATTCATGTTGCATTAAAAATTTTGGTTCCACATATTAGAGTTTCATTATTATAAAGAATAGTAACATCCATTTGACCAATGTGAGGCAGAAGGATTTCAAAACAAGTTGAAAGATATTAACGATTACATTGAATATCAATGTTATAACAGCTAATGTGGTAGTAAAAAGTTGCCTTACACAACCTGCTGTACCAGTTACAATTATATGGAGTTATTTTGTTTGTGCCTGCTGATAATGGAGTAATGAGGCAATTTTTTTAATAAAAAAAAAAAAACCTAATCAAAATAATGATCAAACATGATAAACGTTAACTTTATTTTTTGCACTCTGTATTTTTCTTTTTTGTTGCTTGTTTGTTGTTGTTGTTTGTCATTTGTTGCTTTGCTTTTTACAGCTGTTGCTGAGTTGTTGATTTTGACTAAACTGAAACTGTACATTACTAATTGCGAACTTTTCTATGATTGCAGATCAATATTGGCTCATTCTTTCTGAAATAAACTGAATCAATAAAAAAATATTGGTTGTAATGTTTTTGTTTGTTTGTTTTTAAACAGAACAACATAAGCCCCACGCCCCCGGTACCGAGGGTAAAAAGGAGCTCACGTTTAATCGGTTATAACACGGGGTGAGAAATATAAGTCCAGACATGTGTGGCTGGCTAAAGATAGGCTGGTTGTCTTCCAGAGCTATCACTGACTCCACACAAGTTTCACCACACTCTGACCAAAATTCACCGAATGAGCCACAAAATAAGACCACAAAAAACACACAGCGGCGCAAATGCGCTAAGACAGAAATTGGCTTACTGTCCTGATTTCCTCCGTTATTTTCGCCGGTAGCCGGTAGCCACGTGATTATCAGTAGTTACCACGCCTACCTAGCTGCATCAGAGCCGTTTTCCATCAACAACCTCCATTTTGAACCCACCTACAGACACGTGACTGGACAGACACCACATTTGGGCCCACGTGGATTTTGGCATTGCAACGTCTGATTAGTTGAAGTTAATAAAATTTATTAAGTTCTGCTCTTTAATACCTAAAAAATTCGACTGGCATGGTGTCTAATTGTGTGCCAAAATTGGACATTTTTGTACAACGTCTGGATATTCATGTATTGACAGTGCTGTAATTTTTCACCGTTTCACTTTAGAAACATAAATCTTTGCACAGATGATGTTTATATGTTGGTAACTGAATTTCTAGAATGAAATGTGAACTGAGGTATATTTTTAAAAGGGTTATATGCTAAAAATTAAAAAAAAAAAAATAGGCGAGGATAAAATCTACTTACATTTTCTGTGTTCCAGTCTCAGTAACTTTGGCACTGTATCTGCTTCAATATTTACACCTCTGGTGGAATCTCACAGATGTTAGCTTTATTTTGATACCAAGATTGTAAGGACAGAGTTTGTAATTGCAGAGAAATAATCAATTAAATTTGGGCATTACATCTTCGAGCAGGAAGCTCATAACCCCCTTGGGGCTTAAGAGGTTAAACTAAAATGACTGATCTTGTTTAGTTGGTGGGGCCATTGGAGTCTAACCACCACACACCTATCTAAAGTCTGTTCATCAATAAATTATGTTCATTCTTACTAATTATATTTCCTTTTTGAACTCTTCGCCTGCTGTGTTTGTCAGTATTACAAAGACTTTGCACGCTGTGATGACTAGAATAGCAGGTTTAAAACTGAAAACAACCACCGTATGACCATGATGGTTTCTTTATAGGTTGGACTGTTTTAAATTATGTTCAGTGGGCACTATCAGGGTCAAAGTGGGCCAAGAGAATTCTGACCCTATCATTCGTATCTCACACCAGGAACTGACACTCATCAGAGCAGACAATGTATTTCCAGTCTTTTATTATCCAACTTTCATGAGTTGGTGCAAACTGCTGTAGTCCATCTGTTTTAAGGTTCAATATGTTCTGCATTCAGAGATGCTGTTCTGAATACCTTCATTGTAATGAGAGTATTTTTGAGTTACCACTGCCTTTTTATCAGCCTAAAGCAGTCTGGCCATTTTCGTGTAATCTCTGGCATCAGTAAACCATTTTAATGCCTTGGATCCAACTTCTGCTCACTGGATATTTTCTTCCAGTACATTAGCAATTTCTGAAATAAGACCTGACCAACTGGCACCAATAACCACACTGCATTAAAATCAGCTGCATTAATAGATCTGTGAAAGAGTTTCTTAATGACATTTACACATTTAATTGTCATTAGAAAGCTAAAAGTACGTGAAGTTCAAAATGCACCATTGGAATATAAGCCTAATTGTTCCTGAAAGCCTCCAAAAATTTGGGGGTTTTTTTAATGACAAATTGATCTATGATGAACGATTCCATTAATCGGATTTTTTTTAACTTATAGAGCTTTTGATCAATTTGATGTAAAATTATCAGTCCACTTATCTTTCAGATACAAGGACATTTCAAAATGGCCCCAAACTTTGAAGCAAAATTATATTTTGTAAACATCTGATTACATCTTGAGTACTAAGTAGGAGGATATTGCCAAATAACCAGAAAAAACATCAGTGCTGTGGAGAACTGCTTTACTAATTCTTGAAAATGTAATTCACAAGTGAGGAAGTGAAACAAATGTGCATGGGCACAAACCAGTAGGAAGTAACTGGATAGTTTTGAGGAGAATATGAATGTGGTTTCTGATGATTGGTTAGTTGTTGTTCAGCAGAGGCGGAGCTGCATATACATATAAAACACACACAGAAACAACATCAGTAGTTGCGCTTCTCTTTCACTGAATCATCAATTTCCAGGAAGAAGCATCTGCTCAGTCTGGATACTCAAGTAACACATTTCATTTCTTTTCTTGAAACTGATTATCTTTATTATGTTTCTCTATTTTCAGTTTAAATATAGAATTTGTTTTCTTTTTTTTGCTCAAAGCTCTTTTTTTGTATCTTTAAACTTAGTAGTAGTTTCAGTGTATAATTTATGATTTTTTTTTTTCAATTCAGGCTCACAACAAAACAACTGTAATGTAAAAATATATACATAAACTAATTCATAACTTAAGATTTGAAGAGTAGTAATCCTGTTCAAGGAAAGATCCTATTGAAGCTTGAAAGCCACTTTTTTAATTTATAGAGAATTCCAATGTTTTCATGGTGAGAGATCAGTGCTTGCTGCTTTAAGTGAATGGGTGATGTACAGGCATATAGTTTGTAGTGGTTTTGGTCACATTAACATTTTTCCCAGTGTCTTTAAAGTGTTTACCACACTGCATTTCACTTCTGACCAACAAAACACCAGTGCACATTTGTGTTTTTTTCTTTCACAAAGTTTCTTTTCCTACAATAACTTTGATCCTAACTATTTCACCTTAAAGGTGGGGCTTAAATACTTTGACACGGGAACCAGTAATAAATTAAATTTGCAATAAAATATTGTTTACTAATAAAATTCCCATCTTTCTTAAATTCAACAGAATGATGAAACTGAATGCTTTCCTTCTGCTACTCCTCCTAGGAATAAGCTCGGTTTCCACTTATCGTAAGTGTGTGAGATATCATAAAAATAAAAACACCCCCTGATTTAGTAAAAAAAAAATAAAAATGCTTTTTTGGGTTATACAACTGGAGAAGTTCTGTTAAATAGCTAGGTGCCATATTATTTAAAATTTTACAAGTGAGTAAAAGAATTTTAAAATCAACACGGATAGCAGCTAGAGTGAAAGGAAAGGTGAAGCAGGTGAACGTAGGCAGAAGAGGGTTAATAAATATGTTAGAGAAAGTCTGAATTGAGCTGCCAGGCCAGAGGAACTGAGAACTACAGAGAGGATTCATGGATCCAGTGATGGAGGACATGCAGAGAATTGCATGAGAGGAGGATGTTAGGAATAAGATGAGATCGAGGCAGATAATCCACTTCAACTTCTACTCTGGTGTTACCTCGTTATCATTTGGCCGACTGTAATTCGTCCAAAACACAGCTCTTAACTGGAACGTATAACCGAGATCACATATCTCCCATACTTGCATCATTACATTGGCTACCATATAGTTTTTGAACTATTTTTACGATTTAAACACTTGTTGTTAAGACGCTGCATGGAGTAGCTCTTACATATCTCTCTGATCTTCTAACCTGGTATACTCCCACAAGATTTTTAAGGTCTGCAGACCAAATGCTACTAGTTGTCCCAAGATCCAGATTAAAACACAGAGGAGACCGGACATTTCCGGTGACTGCTCCTAAATTGTCGAACACGTTGCCTTTCATATCAGGACCTCCCCAACCCTGGATACTTTAAAAACCCATCTGAAGACCCATTTTTAGTCTCTGGCTTTAAATCAGTATGCGTTTGTTACTACTGTTTTTATTGTCTTATATTTCTGTGATTCTATTCCCTTCCAACTTTATCCTATTTTATGTCTTCTGCTTTGACTATTGTACAGTACTTTGGTCAATAGATGTTGTTTTAAAAGTGCTATATAAATAAACTTGGACTTGAACAAAAGGAAATTGCTAGTTAACTAGTGTAGGGCAACCCTGCAGCTGTAACACTAGATGCCTCTAGATTTTGTAATATAAATTTGGATTTTTGGAGCTGTGGGTTGCAGGGAAAATTGAAAGATTGTTTTTCTGCTTTCCTGGACTGAACTTTTCTTATTGCAGAATAAATTACAGTCTCCTAGAAGAAGTGACTTTATGAAGCATAATCAAAGCAACAACTTGCATTCACAACCTCTTTTACTTAGTGGCTTATGGAAAGCTATTTTTTAATGTGCAATACTCTCCATTTCAAAAACTCTCTTTGTTTGGATATTACTGTATATTTTATATTCATTGTACATCTCTGATTTGCAGAAAATGTGGCCCTGCGTGGTAAAGCAACTCAATCAACCCGTTTAACTGATAACCCCGTGTCAGCTGCCCACAACGCGATTGATGGAAATCGTAATTCTGAATTTTCGGT